CAAATTAAGAAAAAAAATTTAACAACAAAAATCAAAACGATGGAATTGGGTCAGCAGAGCTAAAAACGATGACTATACATCATACACACATACACTCTCAAATTCACATGATGTTCTGCTGTTGATGGTGGGTTACCCAGCTTCCATTTAAAGTTTGGCTTCTTTTGTTTGTTCTGTTTTTCATTTCTTCGTTTTCTGTTTTTTTTTCGGTTTTTCGAACGTTGATAAGTCATCATCGCTGTCTTGTTTTTTCTCATTTTTTTATTTTTTGTTAAATTTAGCTTGCTGTCTAAACGACGTACATCATATTTTTTCAGTTCAGCTTTTATGTAATTGAAATGATGAAAATAACAAAAGAAAAAACGGACCAAATTGTTCATGTTCTTCTTCTATTTCATGTTCTGTTCTCTCAAAAGAATTAAGATATTGTTTTTTTTTGTTTTTGTATTTTAATTGCTGTAAGGTTGTCTTTATTACTTGTATGTCTGTCGTCTTCTTCTTTTTTTGTTTAATTGAAGATTTGATACAATTGTTTCGTCGAATGTTGTATTGAAGTGTAAAAATCGAGGGATTTCTGCAAAGTTTGGTTAGCATAACATTTGTTGAGTTACGATGAAGGCATAGGAGTTTCAAATAGGGATTTGACAATATTGAATTTATTTGCGAACGCATCCTTACACTAAATTTATTCTATAAACTTAACATTTTTATTATGGTCAAATACTCATACTAACAACTTCTGCTTGTTTCGGATAAATTCGAAACTCCGACATTTGGTCGTAATACTCGCCAATGTAGGCAGACTATATCAAGTTAAGTGAAAAAATGAGTCTTCATATTCGTTGTGTGATGTTGCCGTACCAGGTTGATCGAACTGTCGAGAATATCACTTCTGTTCAGGCGTCCGGAGAAAATCATCAAATCCAGGGCGTTCTCAAGAATTTGGCAGCGTCCAGACCACATAATGGCGAAGTTTGTGTAAGGATCTTGGTTTGCAACCTCAGACGATAAAGCTGACACAAGAATAAAGTGCGATGGTGTCTTTGAAGCGACGTACACTTTCTATTAGGGCTTTTAAATAAATGGGGGCCATGATTATGGAACCATTCCTTTTGAAACACCTCAAAATATTCACCTGAGCCCCCATATTATCCAGCCTGAGTGTCTGTAGTATTTCGTTTTCTCCTGGCAGTAATTTCCATGGCATAGCCACTTACAAAAGTTTCAATCGATTTTAAGAACATTTAATATCCAGCTCATGGAGAAGGGTATAAAAATTATGTTTTCAGTTCAATGGGTCTGTCAACAGGACGGTACGACAAGTCATTCTATCAATTGATCGGCCAACTGCTTTATTCGAATTGACGCTCTTGCAACAAAGCTCTAGACGAGTATATTAAGAACGCAGAGGGACAAATTCGCTATAGGTAAAGTTTTTAAGTTATGGCGTAATGCAAGGTATTTGTATGATTTCGAGCCCTTATGCATATTTTCGTCCTTATTTTTTTAACCGTAAACTAAATACCACAATATGAGTTTATTTCCCATCCAAATATACTACAAAAATTGCGCTCATAGAATTTTAGATAGGGTCCTCAAAGACAAGAAATCGGAATTTGTATGTCTTCATCGTCAATTTCCGCGTTTACCTTACCCTTACAGAGAAAACCTTATACCTACGAAATCTAATAAATTTAGCATAAATCGTAGATTACCATAAATATATATCATTATGTCAAATACGTTAATAACCGGAATCCGGATCCACAAACTTATAAAAGTAATAATCATCTATTGGACCACTTTTAAAATTCCAAATCCAAATACCATTATCTATTTTAAATAATTCGACCCTCTTTGTGGCAAACCAATTTGAGCCACACCTCAATATAGTCCACTGAAAACATAGCTGTGATCTCACACTGTTATGATCGCAATTTAGATACTGAGTAATAGATTCTCGCTTCTTGTTTCATTTGTGAAGAGATAGATATATGGATGGACTTTATGCTGCCCTTATCCATCTACTGTGTAGAATTTAAACATGTAGTTGTTTGTTTTTATTTTATTTGGAAATTCATAAAAATTGAAGTTTATTATGTCATTGACTTTGCAACTCTTTTGCTGTAGGGGTTTATTGTTTTTCTTCTGTGCCGCTTGTTCTATTCAAATTGGGGTTTGTTTTGTGGAATTTCTAAACAATTTCTCGTCATTCGCCCTTCCCTCGACAAAGGAAAGAGTTTGGCAAATTAATTATTGTTTATGTTTTTATTTTTATTTAATGGCATTTATGTTGTTATTGTTTATTTTTACGACCACCAAGTAATAATATTCAATTGCATATTTTACGCTCATCTCTTGTGGCAAGAAATTTATCGTTAAATTACCTATCATATCGTAAATTAATTAGTTGTTTTTATTTTATTTTCGTTTCGTTTAATTTGATTGAATAAAAAAAATAATAATGACTAACTCTGCACAATGGGTTGTAAACTGCGGGGCTTTTATATGCCAATTTGATATTAATGGTATGAAAATAAAATTTGAATGGAATTGGAAGCTTGAAAGAATGTAGGTAAATTCACTCTCAATGTTTCTAATACAAATCTAAAAATATAAAATAATATATAAAAATATACTAGAGTAAAAAATTAAAAAATTAAAAATTTCAAAAAAGTAATTATTTATCTATGAAAATATAGTTCGCCGTCTCCAAATTGATCACCCCAGACACCATGTATCCAGAACAAAATTATCAAATCCAATTTTTTTTCTCCGAAGCCGGTCGTTTCTGGTGGATGGATTTGCGGAAATTAATCTAAGCTTGTCGGCAACACATTTTGCTGGATCTTGGTCGGAGACCCAAATGACCGACCTTGTCAGCATCTGTAGGGGATGAGCGTACCAATATAACGCAACAAAATCAAATATAGGTTGCTAGTAAATATGCAAAAATTCTAAAATTTGAACATCATTGTATTCCTTTCACACTTTTATCAAGTTTGTAGACTGTCTATCGATCTACGTCTTCTGGTATCTCCCGTCAAAATTGTACATTTGGTATTTAGAAAAATTAGTATACGATTTGATTCAAATTTTGCCATGGTAATATTTGTACCAAGCCTAGACCAAGCGTAAATATGGGACTCATCGGCTCACTCCCACAAATGTTCAAAATTTTGACCATCAGGTTTAAAGTTGGGTCTTTTCGACCCATACCTTTTGTTACATCCCAATATTTTGAAAATTTTGCACATTTCATATGAATAGAACTGAGTATTCTAGTTGCCCCAAAGATAAACACCTCATTTTAATATATACTTAAAATTCTATATCGATAGAAGATCCACTCCCAAACAAAATGCAATATTTGTCACAATAAGTGTACTGTCCAAATTAAGAGCGGTTTAAGAAGTTTATAATTTTTAACAGAATTTTCTTTAAAATCTTGGTATTTTAATATATCTTACACATAAAAATTCTCGTAAACTGGATCCAATATGGATCCACGTGTACGTATCGTGTATATAACGCTACAACCCAATTTTTCATATTTTGAAAATAGGAACACAAATTTGGGTATTTTAAATGTCATATCTTCTAGGCCAGGAGTTTCTGGCAAGAAAGGAGCCTAAAAATTGTCAAAATACTTTAAATTTTTTGGTATATTTTTCATCTAACAGGGTCGATCGGTTTAAAGATTGATAGAATAAAGAATACACATTTGTAGTTAAGGTCCTGACGTAAGTTTTATATTTTCCCAAGAGGGAGCTAAAAAAGACTATACGACAAAAAGGTAGGTACTCATAGTCTTGGGGTGAATTATGGCGTAACGAATTTATTTTTGGCAACTGTGAAATTCATGAACAAAAGAGTTTATCTTTGTTAGCGGATATTTATAATACATTTGTAAAACACATATAGTCCTTCTATCTTGAGTACTTGTGTATATATTCATCCATCTTTTCCACATACCACAATACAAGATTTTTTGACCTCCAAATATTCTATAAAAATTTCTTTCATAAGATTTCAGATAGAGTCCTCAAAAATAAGAAATTGATTATCGTATATTTTCATAGTCCTTTTACACTTTTACCGGATCCTTGCTCAGAAAACATTATATCTATGCACACTAAAAATATAAATTGTATGTTATGAAGAACTGTAGGATACTTCTTAAATATTTTCCAAAAATATATCTCATTATGACAAACACGTGCGGAAAACAGATCGGGAAACAGATCCCGTATTTGAATCGGATTTTCAGATAATAAAACCGATTTTTGTACCGTTTTTTATAATTCTTATCATTTAGAAGCAATTGATAATCGCATGGAATAAATTGTCGGCTTTACATCTGATGGCAAAACAATAAAATTGTTTTATTGTACCATTTTTTATGACACCGAACGATAAAGAGTGGATCCTGATTTTCGAATTTATTCGAAATATTTCCGATCGTTTACACAAATCTTATATAAGATGTCGATATTTGAATCATAACTGTAAATTATTTTTAAAGACAAATAAAAACAGCTGTTCCAAAATGATTTCGAAACCGTTTGAATATTTATTGCCTAACACAATTTTTCAATTAGTTTAAGCGTTACACTTAACAACAACAATATATGTAAAATGTAAAAAAAAATACTCGGACTGCAACAATTACAGCGTTGGAATGTTAATTTTTTGTTTTTTTTTTACAATATTACTTAATACAATTATTTATTACATGCTCACATGCATAAATACCACCAGCAGGCATATACGATACAACATATGAAGTAATTGAATGTCGACAGTCTGACAGCATTTATGACATATTTTAAAATGATGGTCGGGACAGATATGACCATTGACGTTGCCATTATTGTTGTTATTGTTATGTTTGGCCAATAGGTCATACAACAAAACTCGAAAACAAAAATCATTAATTTAATGTTTATTTTTTCTCTCTCTTCTTCTCCTCCCACCTCTTCCCAACTTTTTTATTACAGTCTTATCCAATCGCATGAAACAGCTGGCATATTCATTAAAAGAATTCAATTTCGAGTGCATCGGCACGGCCCAAACCGATGATGAATTGGTCATCTGTGAGAGTCTAAAGCAATTTGGTGATATTATCAGTATGATAGAGGATGAACGGGAGAAAATGGTAAGTTATTGCCGAAATTGGGAAATATTTAAAATGTTTATGGGTTGTTTTCTTTGCAGTTGACATTAGCCGATGAACATATCATTGAACCTCTGGAGGATTTTCGTAAGAAGCAAATTGGCGGCGTCAAGGAGAACAAGAAAAAGTTCGATAAGAAAACAGAAAAATTCTGTCAATCACAGGAACGCTTCCTAAATATGTCAACAAAAAAGCCAGAAAATACAATACAAGAGGTAAGTGGAGGCAATAAAAAGAAACAATGTTTTTATGAACGAAAATGGAGAATGGATACATTTTCTAACGAAGTTCCAAAAACAATAACTGGAGATAAAAGAAATAATATTGGGTTGAATAAAAAAAATTAGGAGGCATAATAATTACAAAATTTGAGATTTAAGCGGACCAATTCATTTTCTTATCCTTTAGGTCTTCAAGTGCTTATATGTAAAATTACAAATCTTCAATGTAATGCAAGCCGTTTGAAAATCATACAAAATTGAAATCGAGAATGGGATTTATTGATTTATTTTAATTTACATTTTTATATCACAAAATGCGAAATAATTGGAATGAAGACATATTAAATCCTAAAAGAACACATTCGAAATAAGTTTTTGAGTGATGATGTCTTGTATTTTTTAATGTTAACGAAGAACAAGTTTTATATCCTGATATCCTGGTTATTACAGTTGTGTGAGACCTATATCAAGAGGTTGTGTCCGCAAAATATTGTACCTTTAAGTATCCCGATCGTCATATGTCGACTAGCTGAGTCGATACAGGCCACAATTATGAACCAATCGTCATTAAACTTTACATGTAAGACGGGTTCTGGCCAAATAAGACCAAAATTGTGTTTGTAATAATCGCTAAATATTTAGGGGATGAAAAGGACCAATATTATTTTTGTTTGTTGTTGTAGTTATACCTAAGTATTTCCATTTGTCTACCTATTCTGATACTTTTTAGTATTACCATTACCACACTAGAGGGCGGACATGTAGCGATAATGGCTAGGAAATTTTACATGAGGTTCCGGTTATGGTGAAGGATGGTCCCTATTATTTTCGATGATGATCAGATGATATTATTTTTGTCCTCCCGTGGAGAAGGCGATCTAACCGAATGACTGTCTTGATAATGGACGGTCAAAATGAACCAAATCTATTTTGTGTAAAAAAAATTTGAATCCTTTAGATTAAATTTTTACACTGGGAAAAAATGATTCGGAAAAAAAAATCCACTGTTGACCTCGGCTAATAGATTGCAAATATCGCAAAATATTTCCCAGGATCGGTATTTTTGTAGGGTATCATATGGTCGTCCCATCCGACTATACTGCTCCGCTCACTGGTTTTGTCATAAAAATTACATTAATATAATTTATTTTTCATTAAAAAATCCTTTTAATTTATATTTTCGATACAAAACATCATCCCAATTTAATTTTTCTTTGCCAAAACTGATTTTTAATTCCCTCTTGTTGATTATTTCGTTCTGTACAAAACTACTAATTGGAACTAGAAGTTATTTATATTTTGTTTTTTATTTATAATTTTTTTTATAATCGAATACTATTGGAACATATTTGGCAATTTCAAAATTCCCACATGTTTTTATTAAATATTATTTAATAAGGGTTTCATTACTTCCTCAAACTTTCTAACAACCATTCCAGATATTTCACATTTGTTTTATTTCTTTCCTCTAAATGACCAAAAACTTTTCAAATTCATTTAAATTTCTTCACAAATTGCAATTTATCTTTTCTTATGCAATCCCTTTCTAATGTTACAAACGTGCTCATCTTCAAAAATATTTTTGGTTTCCTTATTTAATACTGCTACTCAACTCAAGAAGAAGAGGAAGCAGAACAATTTCAAATTCTTAAATAAACATAATTTTCCAGATTATTTGAAAACAAACAAAGAAGATATTCCATATGTTCCATAACTTGTTTTATATGTAAAGTTTTGTTTGTTTGATTTTTTTTGTGTTACACGACAAGGATAAAACAGGACGTCGTGCCCCAGAAAACAAACACAGAAAACCATACAGAGCTGCCGATAAACAAAAAAACAAACAACAAATCTCCTTTTGTGTAAAAAGAAATGTGTCTGGCTCGAAGACAACATGAATTGAATTTTATTTATTTATTGGAGCAATGGCAACAACAAAAACGACAACAATAATGACGACAAAAACTGAAAGACCAAAAGGATACAAGTTGTAAGAAACTTGTAAATTCAATAACAGTTAAGTGCATCTGCCAAATGCAAGGAGGTAACTAAGTGTAGAGTCCGGCCTGCGGGCGGGCAGGCAGGCAGTGGAGCACTTTTGATGTTGCCAATATTTGCCAAAGATTTCTTTGCCATCGTATTTTTTTTTCCTTTGCTAGGCAAATTGTTATACAGTTTTCTTTCTTTCGTTCGTTAGTTTTCTCTCGCGCTCTTATTTCCTCATCCTTCTTTGTATTTTTTTTTACACGCTATATATTTTGTTTTGTTGCTTTGGTGGTGCTGCTGCTGCTCCTTTTCGGGTTCCTTGACCTAAGTTAACATTAAAAATTTCATTCCACTCCAAATACACACTCGCTCACACACAAACACACACACGAGCATAGCTATTGTATAATGGACGAACGGCGGAACTGAACAGAATCAGAAAGAAAGGCATATTTATAAAAAATAGTTATATACGAAACGCCCCATAGTCTGATATAACTAAAGCTTTTGGGAACAATACCATAGCACCATCACCACCTACACTTCCTCTTTTTCCTCACTCTCGTAACAAAGGAAAAGTTTTGAACAGCCAGCTGCCTACCGGTGTACACCTACACCACCCACCGCCCACAACTCCAGCCAGAGAGTAAACAAACTATTGAATGAGAATGTACATGAAAGTGGCTGTGGAACAAAGTTCTATACATCGGAATAGTTATTTACTTTAGTATGCCGCAAACACCATAGCACACAGAATAACAGACACACGCATACAAAAACACACACACAAGAAGCTTTTTATCCTTTTTGCCACCCATCTATCTCTCTCCTAAAAGCAAATATATAAAGGAGGCCAAAAGTACTCTAACCACAGAACCAAGCAGGACCACCATGAAAAACGTTTAAAACTCCATTGTATGTGGAAATTAGAACGAACGGCTCTATCGGTGTTTGGGTGGGTGGATGGGTGGATGGGTTGCTAGAAACCCATCTCATCTAACTACTACTAATGTTGCAACTGAGAATAGTATATATGGGAATTAGAGAGCGAACAAGAGAATATAGAGAGCGAGGGAATAATTTTAACTCAGGTTGTTTAGTTGGGTTGTATATAAAGGGAAAGAGATGTTTTTAGAGTTTTGTTGTTTCGGATTATTAGATTCCATCAAAGCCTTGTTGAAAAATTGTGGTCGCTATAGTATTACCATGGTACACAGAGGTCATAATGACTACGACAATAGCTGAATTGGGAAATACACTGAGTTTTTTTTTTAACATATATCTCCAAGATACATTTTATGTTCGAATTTGATAGAACCAGATACATTTTCATAAAATAAAAAACTCAGATCCTCAGAATATGAATTCATACTTTTTCTGAAAAAATAGTCCACGAAAACTGTACTTGGAAATGAAAATGAAGCCTATTTTTTCTATGGAAAACATTCTCAGACAATGAGGCCTAAATTCTTCTTCAGAACAAACCTAAAGAAACAGAGGTCTTATATTCTGAATAGAATGTGATTTGTATAGAAAAATATCCCAGTGAGGTCTGAATTGTTTCCCTTTAGAGTCTTCAGTCTGAATTGTTTTTTTTAGAAACATATTTTCAGGTACTGCTGTCTCTACTAAATAAACCCTGATTTTTAATATAAATACAAATCCTGAGAGCCTATATTCTATTTTTTTCTATATAAGCAGAACTGAAAATCTGATTTTTTAACAAAATTTTACTATTATCAACTGTGGCCTGATAATTGTTTCTCATTCGTTGGGAAATACACAACTTCATTTTCGGTATTTTGAGAAATTACCACCAACAACTGAAGTCTAAATATCAGGTTCTTGGAGGGAGAAACATATTTCCTTATAGGTCCAAGTTTTGTACATTCAAACACCAAAGTTCCTGTTATTTGGTAGATTTTGTTATTTTGATTTGTAAACAAAAACAGTTCGCAATTTATGAAGTTCCATTTAATGAAATTTGGCACAAGCCACGATTAATTTTCGGTACATTGAAGTCCTTTGGAATGTTTTCCAACCTGAGTGTCTGTAGTTTTTATTTCATTATCCCAAATAAAGATATATCTCCTATATATACATTTTTGTTAGGAAAATTTAAATGTGTACATGCTATAAAAAATATACCCAAAGTGATGACGGAAATGTAACTTTCTGTGGATCAATATTCCGAACCTGGGCAATATTTCGCAATATTTGCTCTTCATTACTGTTTTTTTTTATTAAGATAAAATTTTGTTATTTTACATACAAAAGGCTTGGTTGATTTGACAAGCTGTATGTCTGATTTTTCTTAAATAAATTCCCTTAAACATTTTTAATATTCGGCTTATAACTGTGACCTATATAGAAAACCCGACAAAAATATGTTTTTGATTCATTTAATCTCCTAATTATCATCGTCAATGAAAATTATAAAATAATTTCCATGTTGAACCCTGATTGTGCCACCTGGTCACAACATTTTCTGCGTAACACTGTTACTCGAACCAAACTACCAATGCTGCTGACGCACATCACCAACAACAACAACATTTCATCCTCCGGCTATCACATTTCGTTTACATCATTTCAAAGTTATCCCAAAGAAGTATTTTAATGGCCGGAATAGCATCTTGTATCCGGTATCCTGCAGATAAGAAGTATCACAACGACAACAGCGTCATCATCATCATCATCCAGCAACCTTTATTTCATTTTGAAGGTGCACGACGCTTTATTTGCATCTCATCTTCTTTCGTTTGGTTTTTTGATGATGATATTTTATGGTCATGGTTCCAATTTCAGTAGATTTTGTGTATGTGTTAGCAATGAAATGCAAGCAGATTTACTTCCTACTTCGTTGGTTCGCCATACAATCTGTTCCTTATTTTTATCGCTATTTCATAGTACCTACCTGAGTTTGCATATTTCATCGTTATTTAAGGAGACTCTTGGAACAACAAGTAGATAGTTTTTGCCATTAAAATGCAATTTATATTCAGTGA